TGTAGATCTAAATCACACGCACAAATACTCTTCCTGGTGCACAAACTGTAACATGTACGTCTCAACCTGTATTTTAGAGTCACGCTTTTCCCATCCCAACTGGATCTGTTTGTGCCTTTGGCTTGTTTTCATGATAAATGGCATAATTTTATATACATTTCTTCATCTTGTTGCCTCTATTAGATGATGAGCCTTAATTTAAGCTTTCAATTACCCATCTGCTGGCGTGTCTTGCTTTGTCTCCACTCGACTGTGACATATTGAGTTCACAGATTATCAAAGCCTGTTTCATCACCCACTTCAGAGAAACGAAAACATTCATTTGAATGAAAACAACGCTTCCAGTGCATCCAGGCCCGCCTTTGCTTTTAGCTACATGTGCAAAATATTTACATTTTGATTGCATTTTTTTTATTTTTTTTTTACAGCTCTTGAGTGGAAAAGTCGTCATTTATGTCTCAGACATGTTCCAAAAAGTCCCAACATCACTTTAATCCTTCCCATACTAATTAAGAGTCAACGAAAAGTCGTTTTGTACCTAGAAGGCACAGACTGACCCATTAAGTTGTGTTTTGTGTGTGCTGGCACCTTCAGGTTTTGTCGCCTGTGCTCCACTGACTGTTCACAGGGTGGCAATATTTCTCTAAAGAGCTCTTTTGTGCTTTCCACTCAGACCACTGAAAGAAGAGCAATTAGATGACAAAGGAAAAATTCTCAAGAGTGGAAACTGAAAACAGTAAAGAAAGTCACACCCAGACATATAAAAGCCTGGTTTTTGGTCATATAATAAACTTACTGTGTGAAGTATTGTATAACTTGGCACCATTTTCTGCATTTAATATATTTCTGACAAATAACTTTGAACCTTTTACCATTTTTAAAATATTTTTTGTTAAATGTAACATTGGTAGTTGTTGAATTTAATTTTCTGGAAATAAAATATATAATAAAATATAAAATATTCAAGAAATGCATTTCTACAGTAGGTCACTAATCAAATATGCAGTTTTGTAGATTTTGTCGATTCCTCGATCAGTTTTTAATTGTAATAATATAATTTGTAAAACAAATATTAAGTTAGAAAAAATCTAAATATAAAAGCAAAATAACATTTGCACTAGTGGTCTCAGGCATTTTTATGAATATGAACATAAACGTAAAATAGAGTGCAATTTACTTATATTTATGTATCTATATATACTGTTCAAAAGTTTGGGTTCAGTATGATTTCTTAAACACTTTTTACTGTTAAATTGATCAAAAGTGACAATGTTATTTTGAAAAATTATTTAAAATAATTGCTGTTCTTTTCAACTTTTTATTCATCAAAGAATCCCGATGAAAGAAATGTATCACTGTTTCCACAATAATATTAAGCAGCACAACTGTTTTCAACACTGATAATAATAATAATAATAAAATGATTCTTGAGCAGCAAATCAGTATGTTAGACTGATTTCTGAAGGATCATGTGACACAGAAGACTGGAGTTATGGCTGCAGAAGTGTCAGCGTTGCCATCAGGAATAAATTACATTTTAAAATATATTCAAATAGAAAGCAGTTGATTTAAGTTGTAATAATATTTAACAATTTTCCTGTTTTTTGTTTATTTTTTTTTGGTCAAATACATGCAGACTTCTGTCAAAAACAGTAAACCAACCCCAAACTTTTAAGTGTACAATATTTAAACTGTTCTGGTAGTTTTTAAACATTGAGGATAATACGTTTGGTATCTGGTGCTCATTAGCTTTTGGTTTTAACAAGCACAAGTGTCCAGAGTGAGTCTCCTGGAAAGCAACGCACATTATCTGTGTGAGGAACGGGCCTCTGGTAATTTGACTCTCTCTCTGCCACTTATCACCATTTATCTGTCCAGCGTCTCACTTGAAGCCGTGCTTGTCAGTGAAAGTGTGTTGGAGATAAGTTCCCTGGAACGTTTTTCCAAAACAGATTAAATCTGCTTTGTGTCACTGCGGTCGATGTGGTGTAAACAGTAAAGTCAAATTAAAAGTGATTTGGATTCTCTTGAAAGGACCGTGTTGTTTTGCTTTCCTTTATTGTCATTAGTTTCCAAATCCCTCTTGCTAATTAGGGGCTTTTCCACCAATGAATCCCGTTTGAAGTTTTATGATTTTCAGGGTATGGTGACAACAGCTATGTGTCGTATTTCAAAAAGCTGGACTGGATGTTTACAGTGAAGAGACTGTCGAAGTTTATTCATCAAATGTGTAACAACACAGAAGTACTTGTTGATAATGAAAATGTGTGAATATATTTTTGATAATGAAAATATAGTAGTCAACATTTGAAGTGGATCAAAAAAGTTCATCAAAGTTGTTCTGAGACAAGAATGCTTTTAGGTTTTAGGACAACTTTGATGAAAGGTTTTGATTCACTTCAAATGTTGACTTGTGTATATAAAAACAAATGATATAAAACAAGAGCAAAAATAAAAAGACACGAGAAGCATGAATCGTGTTAACTCTGAGTCAGTAATGGACAGCAGTGGAGCTTTAATAACATTCCTCATCCAGACTCTATAAAACATCAAAGCTGTAGAACTCTCCCCTCGTACTGTATTTCCTCTCTAGATACTGTCTTTGTCTAAACACATAGGTCTCCTCCGGTCTGTGTCTCCTTTCTGTGTTTTCTTAAAGGGGGCCAGAGTTAAGGATCAGTGTTCGGGCTCTCAGGGGCCTCTCCTTTAGGGGGGACGTCTAGATTTCAGTTCACCACAGACCCATGAATCATCTTCCTTTAGGAGAAGAAACAGTACTGAGCAGAATGTTTCATT